AAAACAAAAATTTTTCATCGCGAATATGATCGCATGATCAGTCGACTATAGCCGTAAAATTAAATTTCGCAGACTATATTACACATTTTTGCCAGACAGTATTAAAAATTTTCGCAGACACACTGTAAAAATGGGAGGGGGGCTAGCCTCCCACATTGAGAGCCCTGAATGTTTTAGAACAAACTCAATACTTTAGATGATTCTTTTATATAATTTACATAATTTTCTTTCTTATTATATTCGAATGACCTATCCAATTCAATTAGAGAACTAATCTTAATTCAATCACTCAAGCTATTTCGACTTTTTAATCTGATTCTTTAATGTGAAATATATATATATCATTTACACTAATCGACGTTCTTTGGAACATTTGTTTCAAGGTTCTTATTTTTCTTGGGCGATCCTTCAATATTTTTCTATACCGGAAAGAAACAAAAAAACACTAGTCTGAAGCTTAAAATGGCATAGGATCTTGTTTGGCTTATCATGAACGTAAGAAATTGAAAAGGATTATCAAGTTATTCAGGATTTCTCGAAGTTCAACCAAACATCTTCTGTCATGAAAGAAAATAGATTTTTGTCTATTCTTCAAAACAAATGTTACATGTTGTGTATGCCGCAGTTGGCATGAGAATTAAGTTAAGTTTGAAATATGCGGATTAATTTAAAGAAAAAAATCATAATAGAAATAAAGCTGTATAAACAACATTAATTAATTGATTTAAGTGGGAGTTTTCTCTAGACGTTTTTCTCTTATTATATTATCAAAAAAAAAAACGATTTAAAATTTACCAACAGTAATGTTCTTTCACTAAGCTGTCGATTATAATATTTAAAAAAGCTTTAACCTTCAATTCTATAAATGCTTACAACCATTAATTATACAATAATATCATAATTACAAGGAGCACATCTAATGCAAGGTACCCTTGTTTTTAAAAACTGCTCAATAAATGTAGTCAACTTATTATTATTTATCTCCAGAATATAATAATCTAAATATATCTCTATCATCAAGTAAACTTCAACATACAAATAAATCATATTAATAAAAAGGAAAGCTTTTTTTGTTTATATACTAATAATATCGTTTATTACAGAATAACAAAATACTATTCCAGTCTTACCTAAATTATAAATTCACCTACTACATTTATTGTATATGACATTCTATATGTTATTACAATATTTCTACATAACATCAGTTAATAGTTATTATTGATTTCAATATGATAAATAAACCATATCCTTTTCAGTCAATGTATGAATTTCGTTTGCTGTCCCATTAGTGAGATGAAGTATAGTTAATTTTACGGTTCTCCAAAAACAGGACTTGACAACAGATCAATTTCAGCTGACGGTTATGAGAAAAACGAATTATACTAAAATAATATATTTATTCTTAATTGAAATAGATTTGAAATTGTCTGCATTTTTCTTACAGCTATTATTTATCTTTTTTGATAAAAGCTAACAAAATAAGATAGAACAACACAATGAAAAATTATCTTCTTGATGTACAGTCAAGAAAATACTTATGAGAGAACTACCTCAGTTGTAATGCACTGTTTGAACTCATATTGATTTCACAAGAAAGTCTCAATAAGACTATAAAAAGATTAAAATGATTCGTATCCGTAGACCTCTAGAGCCGAGTTATGACTGTTTCAGTAAATTTTCGACTCAGCTCTATGTATCTACCAAAAAACCAAATAATAGTATTTCAATATGAGATTTCGTCTAGAAACAGGCCAAATAGCCAATGGGAAAGAATGATCATTTGACGAAATATTGAATTTCCAAAACATGATCGTTTGCCAGAAAAGTCAAGCTAAGGTGGAAATTCAATATCTTGACTAAAGAGAATTCTTTTCTGATGAAACTTTTAGAATATTCTAAGAAGGGTTTGACCCATCTTGAGAGTGAATGTTCGGTCGAAAATTCAACGGAATAGTCATAACTCGGCTTAAGAGGATCATAGACGCGAACTTTTTTCATATTTTTCTAGTCATATCGAGACTCTCTTGTGGTTTCAATATGAGCTCCGATGATGAGTTATCGTTTATATAATTCCCTCGTTAGATCACAAGAATCAAAAAGAGAATGCAAAAAAGAAAACAATTAAGCAAGAAATAAAGAACACAAGAATCTCATTAGCAAGACACTTTTTTTTATCCCATCAGCCAAGATTCGGTGTACATGGATCTTGTTAAAAAGTCAAGATCTATTTTTTCAGGCGAAAATCTTACACCGAAGTATATACGTAATAAGATCTTGATTAATAGTCAAGAAAAAACAAGAATATGGAAATAATAGGCCTAAGAATATGCATTATTGCTTACTAAATGACCGAAAAAAAGATATGCATATTATTCAAATGATGGAATCCGTAATGAGTACAAAAGCAAAAAGTAAATTACAAAAATCATGATCTATTCATACATCTTAGTTACAAGAATTTTACACTTTGATATTATGTTCATTTTTTTTTGTATGGAAAATAAGGAATAGTTTTCGCATTAGTTAAAGACTATTCAAAATACAGTAGTAGGAAATATGAAGTTTGTACATACAAATGTCCTTCTCGTTCGTGACAATAATATATTACTAATCAAAAGTTTAATAAAAATAATTTGAAATGAAATAAATTATTATATACAAGCGTGAAAAATCTTATAGTTAGAATAAAATTAGAAGCTTTTCTAAGGACATCTAATAGCATATTTTTACTATCAGTGAGTGGTAAAAGAAAAATTAATATTCATGAAATAATCGAATTGCATATTTAGAGAGATCAAGTTCTTTCTAATATTCATCTCTTTCAAACTGAGAAAAAAAAACATCTGATCCATGCTTCTCAGAGATGTTTAGATGAAGTCTTCAATAAAATAATAAATTCAAATAAAAACAAGTTTATTTCTACTTGATAAAAAAGAATTATCGATTTGTCCTTTTTAATCATACATTTCTCATAAAAACAAAATATATTAATTTCACAAGCTCATTTGGACTATTATATTTCAATCGACACTATATAGAGTTTAACGAAGTGTATAGTAATCACTTATTTTAATAGGATGATTTCAGTATTGTATTAAAAAAAAAAGAACCGTATTCATTCGACTATATGCATCGCAAGCATATTTAATTCTGCAAATAAATTTCAAAAGATTATTTTCTTTAGTCGCCAGTAATTTTTAAAAAAATGTAAAACTGCTCAAACAAGATAATGTTATCAACACTTGACTGCTTCGAGCAAAGTATAGTTTCATCTCAAATGCATGATTAACAAATAAGTGAATTTGATATTTTAATCAAATTTAGTAATGTTATTTTAAACCCGTTGAAAACTAATGCCGTTTCATTACAAACGAGCTCTAATGTCTATATACAACCTTCGTATTTCCTATTGCTATATTTTCGAGGAATCTTTAACAGATAACATAATATTTCTGATTTTACGTCAATAAACCGAATATGATATGAAAATGGCAAGAAACTTATGTAAAAGATAGATTTTGATTTGAAAAATCGAATGATGAGATTCTATTTGGTTTTTTTTCTTTAATACTGATCTTGAAATTGTATCTTAGAGTTCACATGATAACTTGCAACAGAACTATCTGAGCTAATACCCACCGTTTGAACTCACACTAGTTTTACAAAGAGGACTTAATAATATATTGATTTTACAGATTTTATACGCAATACTTGAGTATATTTTAAATAAATATGCTATAGATAGTAGCAGATGTAAATTCTCTGGCATACATTTAAAAATTTTTGAAAATGGTTTTCTTTAATAGAGCGAAAAATGAAATCTCTTAGTTCTCTTCATGATCTTCCTTCATCGAACGAAAATACAACTGCTTTAAACTTATATCCGTCACCACTCTATATATTTACTTATGAAGTTAACCAAGTCTATAATGAAAAAATGTTTGCAAAAATATCAAATTCTGTGAGATCATATTGCTGGCTTCTAAATCAAGAAAATTTTTTCCATTAAAAAAAGACTAATATCTGAACTACAAATGTTGTATGAGATATATTTTTCAGAAAGAACCTGACGAGCAGAAAAAGCCCAAAACCAAACATCTACATATTGTCTGATGTTCTTACAAACTGATATTTCCTGGAAAAAAAAACTGTATTTTACAAGAATTTCATTTTTCAAGGTTTTCTTCTAATGAAAGAGTCACAGACAAAGCTAACAAATTTTATCAAAACTGATACGTACAACATTTGTATTTCAGGGACTGCCCTTTCTAGCAAAAAAAAAACTTTCTTGATTTAGATGTCAGTAAATATGATACAACAAAGTTTGACATTTTTCCAAAGACTTTTGTATTGAATATTAGAAAACAATAGAATTATTTACAACTAATTATATTAACGCTAGTCAAACAATGTGATTTTAGTTTCTTATAATCATATATTCAAACTCACTCTACAATTCCTAATAATTATTACATCATATCCTAATGTATACAGCATTGAATAATCGATCAAACCATTTAATAATTTAATAATAATGATCGTTATTTCTAAGAGTATCCCAGTCAAACAAGCATGCGCGTAAATCACCATATTACATGACTCAGTATCACAGCCATATTTCTTCGTATATTATAACGAGAAATATGGTCATTTACGACTCCTGTTTTACTCAATATCTCACCGCATGCGGTAAAATAGGGAACGTACACTGATTTTGAAATCTTCGTTCAGAGATTTGAATCCTAATGCATAGATGCAGTTATATTGATACCATTATTACCATAGCTATTAGATAGTCATTCGGAATATAGTTACCATATAATAACTACTTTAAAAGCAGATAAATACTGATGAATTTCCATTTCTAGATCCTTATCCTTACAGTCTAGAGAACAACAATGAAAGAAAAAAATTATTTTTATATTATATTTATTTTTCAATTAAAATTTTTCAATACCAAACAAAAAACGAATTTTATAAATCATTTGTCTTATATTCTAATATTTTCGTGGTGGTTGTTGGAGCATTTGCCACATTTGTGGTGAATTAAGAACATTTTGTCGTTGTCGATTTAATCGTGCATCCATATCAGCAAATATTTCACTTGGTGGACGCATATCAAAAAATGTTCCACCTGATGATTCTAATATTAGTTCCGGTGGAATAGCTCCACCACTAACAGTTACAATTTGAGTCGGTCGTTGGATAGTACCATCAGGATTTCTTGGTGTTGGAGCAATTGATTGGATGGCTTGCATTGGATTAGAATAACCAAAGAAATCATCACGACGAGCAATATCGAATGATGCAGGTAAATTAACAAGAGCTTGATCTGTATACGGAACAGTAGCCATAGTTATGTTACTTGAAGCAAATATATCTTTGAAGTGAGGTAAATGTATGTGTGCTGTTGATTACGCTTGAGCGATTTTACGTCGGTAAAGAAACTGAAGGAAGAACATCGTTGTGTGTGTATATATATATTTGTGTGAATATGATGATTCAAATGCTTGAAGTAACTCGTATAATCGAGAATATTCGATACGGATAGATAATAATTTGTAAACAAATATTTTTTTTTTAGATTGACCTTGAAAATGCATGCGAATATAGTCATTATATAAAATATTTTAGTCTATTATGAAAAAATTTAATAAAAAACAAATTATAAGCATTTCTTTATTTGTAAAAGAAAAAATGTCTTTAACATATAATAATAGTTCAAGAAAAAAAATGTTTAATTTATTACTGTTATACTCTTATTTCATTTGATGTTGTAATAATATTAACCATCACCTATGAATCGTACTCAATTTATTTTTTTCTTGCCTGTGTTTAACCAATAGACTCTATTTATGTCATTATAGTTACAAAAAAAACGAGCTGTCGTCAATCGTTATTTATTTATAGTGTAATATTTTTATGAACTATACAAAATATTTTTCGTATGAAAGATACATCAAGCATCAACGTGGTTGTTGTTGTTGTTTCTAGAAAAAAAATGGCTTGTAGCAGTCTATATTTCGAATTGTTACTGCTTAAAATTCAGTCTTGATGCATGTTATGTTTTATATATACTCTACGGTTGTCTTTTGACTTCATGGTTGCAAAAAATTAAATACATATTCCTATTTTTCATTCTATCGATTTCATTGTTTTTGATGCATCAATATTACGAAGAATAATCGTAAAATAAACATATGTTTATTTGACTTTTTTTTTGTTGAAAAAAAAAAAAGAAGGAAAATGTTCACATATTGTCCCATCCATTTGGATTTTGCATATTGGTTTGTCGTCGTTTGAATTCATTTTTAAAATCATTACCAAGATAATCAAGATCTTTTTCATCACGAATAACACCCTAAATAATAAAACATATATATTTTTTTTAATGTTTTAACTCTTTGATTTTATTTTTGTTACCTTTGGTAAATATCCCAATAAACGATGAGCATGTTCACGAAGTAATTTAATACGTTCTTCTTCGATAATTTGTTTACGAATTTGTTCAATACGTTCAGCTTCAACACGTTCATTAATTTCACGTTGCTAAATAAATAAACCAATATAAACATCATTATCTGAAATATTTAATAAAATACAAACTTTATCAACTGCCATTTGACGTCGACGTTCTTCAAGTAAAACATCAACAGCTCTTTTATGTTCTATTTGTTTCATACGACGTTTTTGAGCATTCATTTGTTCAATACGATCATCTTCAGCAAATTTAGCCATTAACTATAAATATTAATATAGAAAATAAAATATGTTATAATGAATTTTTTTTTTTTTGTTCTCAAACTTGTTGTCTAAATTTTTCTTCTTCTTGTTTAATTTCTACATCACGTAAACGTTTAAATTGTATTTGTTCATCGCGTTCACGTTGTAATTCAAGACGTTGTCTTATACGTGCTTCCATTTCATCACGTTCACGTCTTCGTATAGCTTGTTCTTGTTCTTCCAAATATAATTCTTGTCGAACTAATTCTTGTTCTTCACGTTCTTCACGATCACGTTTTATTTGTTCACTTAATGCACGTTGAACTTTGTCTAATGCTTGCTCACGTGCACGTTTTTCAGCTTTAGCTACTTCTTCTCGTTGTTCTTGAGCTTTAGCAAATTCTTTTATACGACGGTTTTCTTCTTCCATACGTTGACGTTCCATAGCTTTCCATTCCTCTCGTTTACGTTTAAATTCAACTATAAATTCACGTGTAGCACGTTGACGTTCCAATTTACGTTCCATTTCACTATATTGAATAGATAAAGAAGATATTGCATATTAAGAATAAAATCTTAATTATAACAGCTAAGGTTTTGAGGATTATTAAAAACTTAAAACTTTTGAATTAAGAACATAGCAAAGATCGAAAAGCTGTGAAACTAAAGAATGGAAATATGCTTGATTCCAAGTTTGAGAATCAAAATCAACAAGTTTATTTGCAAAGAATTTAACGATCATTAATGCTTTACATTAAATATTGTACAATTAGAATTGATGTCTTGGTAACATTTTTTTTTAATGATTATTTCACTCTTTGTTTCACTTATTAACTTATCATGATTATGAATTTAACATATATCGACCATTAGTATTAGAGATGTATGAGGTTATCGTATCCTACTCTACAGAATAGGGTCAGGATATAAAAAGAAGTTTATCCTGCACATTTCTAATGTGATACTATTTGCTATTTGTCGTTATTAGACCCACGGAAAAAGTTTTCAAGAAAAAACCGCGGTTTCATAAACCGCGAAAGTCAGACCTTTTATGCGGTTTTCGAAACCGGCGAAAACCGTGGTTTGCAAATACCGCGGTGAGAACCGAGAAAATCGCGGTCCGAGCTGAGTTTTTGCAGGTCTAACCGCGGTTTTCTTGGTTCTCATCGCGGTATTTGCAAACCGCGGTTTTCGCCGGTTTCCAAAAACCGCATAAAAAGTCTGACTTTCGCGGTTTTTCAAAATGTGGAACAAAAACGCGGTTAACCTCAGATTACCGCGGTTTTTTTCGGAAGAATTTTTCCGTGGGGAGGCTTACAACTAGAAATTATCATATTCAAAATTTTCAGATCTAGACCTGATTGGGCCTCGACACCAATCTAGCAGATTCTATCTTAAATGTTCATAAGTGAAACTGGCGAATTGAATTGATATTGAGCTTTTAAACAGCCACCGACAAGACTATAGAAGTCTATTAGGATTTGTCCTTATGCGCTGTTTGTTTCAATTTATTACAAATTTATAGATTCTTTTTTAAATTCTGGCAGTGTATTGGTGCGAAAATTAAATTAGAAAATTTTATCCATTGGTAGGTCTCATGGGACTTTAGATGCTCTGAAAGTCTCAGCCTTAAGAGACTTATTCTTCTTGAGATATTGAATATTCAAAAAATTCATGTGTCACACAGGAAGATGAGAAATCTTAGTGTTTTCAATATTAGATATTCTTTCGACTCAAATTTTCACAGCATTCTAAGATCCACGGAAACTACCTAGGACTAAAAGTATAGCTTGAAATTTTGAACTTTGATTTTTGTTATAAATGCCTTTCCAGAAATACAAAACTCAGTCAAACTGTAACTGCTTGGAAAGAATCGCACACAGGGCAAGCCTTTATAAGCTTCTATTAGTCTTGTCAGTCCTAATTTGGAGATCTTCCTTCCAACGACTCTACGAAGACTGAGTTTGCTCTCCGTATGTTTGTGGTTATTCCATCATGTACAATGTGTTTGCGCTCGCAAAAAGATGTTCACCCTTCCGGAAGATAAAGTCTGAATAAAACACGATGTACGGGTATAACAAGAACTTTTAGATAAGTGCAAAGATTTGAAAGCTAGCTATCGCGAGTATATGAAAAATCAGCTCTCTCTATTCTTTCCAGAAGATATACTACAACAACGAGTTTTATTGACTACTTTTCAATTTCGATACATGCTAAATCATTTGCTGAGATACCGTTGTCAGATACTTTGGCTTCTCTAACTTTAGCCTATTGAAAAACAATAATTGTTTGATTCAAAATTATGAAAAATAAAGCGTATGTTTGAGAAAAGTCTTCTTTCATCAAAACACAATTCATTTTTGATTCGAATTTGTTAGTCAATCTTTTTTTGTTATTTTTTTATAAACTTACCGTTGATCTTCTTCATAAATCTTTCTAACAATTTCATCAATAACCAATTTTTCTCGTAGAAATTCTTCATAAGCTTTTTGTTTACCAATTTCACGTTCTTCAAGTTGTCGTTCAAGTTCTTGTTTATAACGTACCATTTCTTGTTGTCGAATAATTTCACGTTGACGACGTTCTTGTTCAGCTTTATCAGTTTCATCACGCATACGTCGAGCTATTTCAGCATCTTCTAAATATGAATCAAATTTTAATGCTTCTTTTTCAGCCATTTGTGCTGTGCGTTCTTTTTGAACATAAGCAGCACGTAATTTTGATTCTAATTCACGTAATTCATAGCTTGTTTCACTAGAAAAAAAAACAGAATTTCATAATCAACTTTTTCTTTTGCTAATACCGAATTTGTTGTCGCATTTTTTCATCACGTAATTTTTCATGTTTTATACGTTCAAGTTCCATAGCTAAACGTTCTTCTTGACTTCGTGCTTCAGCAGCTAATTTTTTTTCACATTGTGCTTTTATAATCGCTTCTTCCATGGCTCGATCACGTTCAACACGTGCTTGTTCACGTATATGTCGTTTATTAGTTGCTTTAGCTTCAAATTCTTGCATTTCAGTTTCAATACGACCTTGTGCTAATTGTCGTTCACGTAGAGTTCGATCAGCTTCTTGTTCACGACGAAGATTTTGATTAGCTATCCAACTATTTCCACCATTATTACTACCACCTTGTTGTTTATATAATTGACGAGTTAAAGCCTAGAGATAAAGTATTATCTCAAAAGTATTTTACAGTTAAATGATTTACCATTGTTTTTCTTTTGTAGAAATGGAAAAATTTGATTGAAGTGAAAGAAATATTAACTTTGCATTAGTTATGCTGTTGTTCGGCTAGGCAACTTCAAAAAAAAAAAGAAAAAAAATACATTGTTACCATTTTGTAAAACCTTTCTATGGTAGTTACCTCTCAAATCAATACTTATCTTCATCGAATATATTTCATTGTAAAATGACTCAAAAGTAAGAATACAATTGAACGCAATTTAATTATTATTTTTAAATTTTAATTCGATTATTAAATCATAGATGTCGCTAGATATTGGTAGTGGAAGTCATTTATGTAAAAAAAAGAAGCTTATATCATAAGCTTTAGTTCAATGGAAAATGATGTCGCAGACTTTGAATAATAAATTTGTTCCATTTATAATTGATATAGATATGTTAC